AAGTTGTTCTTCTGTGAGGGACGTCACAGTCTCCTCTGGAGTAAGCCTTGGTTCTCAGGCCACCTGAAGTCTTGTGTTTGAACAGAGTAGACACAGGAGGTGGGGCTAGTCCATGTAGAGCTTTATAAATGAAGCATACATACTTAAAATTTATAAAATTTTCAAAATTTAAAAGATTGTACTTGTTTAAAATATTACATACATGGAAAGAATTAGATTTTTGGTCAAACACTTTTAGAGATTTTTTGTACAGTGATTCAATTAATTTTAAATTGGTAACTGTGGTGAGAGACCAACTTGTCAATATTTGCTGTTGAACAATAGAGGTAACAGAAAAATAGATATGTTGTGTTTGTTTGCAGTCTCTAGTGAGATTCCTGCAGTACACATCATTCTTGCATGTGTGTGCCCCCAATTTACTAATTGTAATACATGAATTCAGATTTTAAATATAAGTTTTTCAAATGTACTTTTTGATTATTTTTTTTATGTTGGCAAACAAGGTAAATTAACTCTCACATCCAGTACTGGTTATTTTCCAATTAACAAAAATATTACTCATTACTTTCATATGACTATTTGCTCTTTCAGAGTAAATTATGCATGAGTCATTGTTTGAAGTGTTGGCCTAGAGGTAAGAGCAGTGTGCTTTTGCTCTAAGAAGGTTACCAGTAGAAGTACCCAGTTCTATTCCCTTAACCCCATACTGCTCCCCTGTGCGCCACATAAATGCAGCCCACTGCTCCCCAAGGGGATAGGTTAAATGCAGAGGCAAATTGCTCCATGGTGAGATCAATAAAGTTAAATTATTATTATTATATGACACCCTATTCCTCAGTTAAAATCTAAAGTCAATTTTTCAGCATAGAACTGAAAGCAGCTTTCTTCATCAACGATTGAACTTGGAGTTCAGTTAACTTCACATCTGTTTCACCTTTCTCTGGCTTGAATTGTTTCTTTACAAAGCTTCTTCTTTCTCACAGATCCAAAAGTTTTGATCTTCACATGGTATATCATTCCAGCTGTTTTGATGATCAAAGAACCTTATCTCCACACAGTTTTCATTTCTGCCTCCGTAACCGTTTGGCTCTCCAGATCCCCAATAGCTGAAACCCAAAAGGACAAAACAATCTACCACATCAATTATTTACTATCCAACCATTTCTGTGATTTAAAATATTATTTAACATCCATGCACTTATTTCGAATATTCATTAGGCTGTAAATGTCATATTTTTTCTTAAAGCAGAAAAAAGAAAAACAAAAACCTTTTTGTCAGTGGAGTCCCATCCACCCATGTCCACTGTCCTGTTCTGGACACATTATGAACTCCAATCCATGTGAGTCTGTGAAACTGTCTTGTAAAATCCTTAAAAAAGAGAAAAAAAAATTATATATATATACATATATATACATATATATA